GCTACGTATACAGTAGGTTATGCAACAAGAAGTCTATGCTACGTATACAGTAGGTTATGCAACAAGAAGTCTATACTAGGTAAACAGTAGGTTATGCAACAACAAGTCTATGCTATGTATACATTAGGTTATGTAACAAGAAGTCTATGCAAGGTATACAGTAGGTTATGCAACAAGAAGTCTATGCTACATATACAGTAGGTTATGCAACAAGAAGTCTATGCTAGTATACAGTAGGTTATGCAACAAGAAGTCTATGCTACGTATACAGTAGGTTATGCAACAAGAAGTCTATGCTACGTATACAGTAGGTTATGCAACAAGAAGTCTATGCTACATATACAGTAGGTTATGCAACAAGAAGTCTATGCTACGTATACAGTAGGTTATGCAACAAGAAGTCTATGCTACGTATACAGTAGGTTATGCAACAAGAAGCAGTAAAATGTCTATTCTTTAAATTACCTGCAGTTATTTTCAAATTCAACACACAATATTCAAGCAGTAAAATGTCTATTCTTTTACATGTAAATATTCTTTTGTCTTGCCAGAAGATGAACATAAAACAAATGTTGTCATGGTTAATAGCTTGTACAACCACCCAAGTATAATTATTATTTAGTAACTAATTAAAACTACCAAACTTTCCATCAAGAACACCTAGGATTGAATCCCGGTCACTATCAACACATAAAATAGTACTTCTTAAAGCCTCCCCAAGATGGCAGCAGATTATCAACCAAAACATACGATAAAAACTAGTCAGTAATTAATATCTTTCCATATATAGTTACTAATTAATAATCTTTAGGTCGTTATACAGGTTACTACTCATGACAGTAATGGATATCTGATCACCACAATTTTACCATAAGTAGCTTTATTTTGCTGCTAACAAGTAAAGTTTACAGTCAACTTATTTACATAATATTACCACAAAGTTTTCCGTAAGTTCCATCTGTAGTATTTTATTTCTCTATAACTGATTTACTTACCTATTAAAGTTTTTAAACACTGGCCTGATGAAGTATCCCATATACGACTGCAAAAGAACATGAATATTATGAAAACAAAATATATATAAAATTATCTCTCAGAACCCTCAGCCGTAACCTTTATTTTCTCGGCTAATTCTGAACCTATTGTGTCTCAAATATGGATCCTACCGTTAACTTTTTTTAGGTTAATATGCCAGAGAAAAATTTACTCCTTAAAATATCTTGATTTACAAGTTCTGAATAATATTTTTAATTAATAAATTAGGATGAATTTTTAATGGTTTAACAATTTTTATCTATCGACAACAAATATCTAACTTCTCGTTTCATTCCTTGATGTTTTCCAATATCAAGTTTGAGGTGTATTTAAAATCTATAAACGTAAAATCAGAAATTATAATTATAGATTTTTCTAGTAAGTTTGTTTGAATAATTGTTTGTTTGTTTGAAGTAAAGTACAAAGCTACACAATGGGCTATCTGTGCTCTGCCCACCACGGGTAAGTATGAATAAAAGCATACAAAAATCCGGAACGAATTACTTTTGAGCAAGTCATTCTCCACCTTAAGAAGTTCTTTAAAAAAACAAATAATTACATGTGCAAGAACAATTTAACACCCATCCAATTACTTTAGGGATTAAAATCAAAATAACAAAAATGCGGTTTCACACGTATATATGTAAATACCATAAAAATACCCACGACGTATTCTAGTTTTAGAGGTATATGCCGAGATATGCAGTAGAATACAGAGTACTATTCAGTAGAATACAGAGTACTGTACAGTAGAATACAGAGTACTGTACAGTAGAATACAGAGTACTATACAGTAGAATACAGAGTACTATACAGTAGAATACAGAGCCTGCTTTACAAAATGAAAAACAATAATTCGAGAGCAGTCGTTGATGTTCAAATTCACAATGTCTTACATCTTTATCATCTATTACTGCCAAAGTTTACAACTGTTTTTCTTGTACGTTATACGAGATATATGTCATTGGAAATAATCAGGGAAGTACACAAGTGACTAATTGTTGATAAATGGTTGGTTTATCATTAGAACAATACACCACTACAGAAAATACAAACAAAAAGCTAATAAGTTATACAATGCATTAGTAATTTTAGTTTACTTTAAAAAGAGCAGTATACTTTTTTAATGCTAACACAAACTTATCAATATGTGAAATATTGCTTTAAATATACTGTATTATCCCGAGCAATCCAGTCAAGTTGTTTTGTTGCCATGTGACCTTTTCAGTTTACAAATAAGCCTGTACAGCCTTAATCTTATTCGTATTGGAACTCTGTGCTTGCCAAGCAACAGTTTTATTACACCCTCTTATTCCAAGTACTCTTTAACCATGTTTGCTGCACACTTGGTGCACTGTCTTGTTTGAAGAGGAATCCCTGCACAATAGGTCTTATTCCTAAGGGAATGACATGATGGAAGAAAATTTACTTTTACCAGTCAGCAGCCAAGGTGCCATCAGTTTTGTGTAGTTCTTCTGGAATGCAGCCCACACTTGTATACTATTGCTGATTGTTGGTAAATAACTTGAAATTTGATTCATTTGTAAACATAACTTTCTCAAGCTTTGTTCATACCCTTGTTTAAAGAATGATGCATATTTCAGTTAGTTTTTATTATCATCATTTGTTTCTTCCTACTAAGCAGAGATTTTGGAACAACTACACATTCACTGATGTCATTTTGTGCTATTGTATATCTCAATGTTTTGAAGGTAACAATCACATTGATACTTAACAGCTAGGTCATATAAAAAATTGTTTTAACACAAAGCATACATAATTATATACTTTCCAGATGAACAAAAAATAAAAAAATACAGAATTATTATGGAAAGATTAAATCAAGTACCTACCATAATCCATCATAACTACTTGAAACTATTAAAGAACCATCTCTGTTAAAATGTACCTGCAATGAAAATAAGTTATAAATTTGTCTTAATCGTGGAGTAGCAAGAATAATAATATAGCATAAATATCAAGTCTTCTTTATCAAAGCAAGTTATAAATTTGTCTTAATCGTGGAGTAACAATAATAAT